TAAATCCTTGAATATAGGAAAGTAGTTTTATATGGACTATTCTGATACCAAAACAAGTCTGCCGATTTACTCGTTCTCAACTGCTCGCAACCTCCACTCCGCCCGCCTATTTAACCTAACAAACTTGCATTAGATTGTGGTGTACGAAATACCAGTAGAAGACACATATTTGAGAGACTGAATTATTTAAAGTATAATATTTTGAATATTCTTCACTGCTTCAAATCGTCACGATTCCTTGAAATTTCTGTCGACCCAATTTGTGTTGTGCTCTTAATTAATTGAATTTGATATCATATTTCGCAATTGTCAGGCAACACTCAATTCACATTTGCTGCTGGCCAAAACGCAAGTGAGATGCAATCAATATGCAAAGTGTTGACCCTAAAAAGTATTTACGAGCACACTCATACATAATCATATCTCATTTGTGGTACGATTATGCATGCAGCTCATGTGTTCGGCACACGTTTAGCGCATTTCAAGAAGGCTCGCACAGATCGCGGACAGCTACGAAATTGGGAATTGACACGCGTCTTCCCGATGATGATGATGATGATCTACATCATCATGACGATGGGCGTCATACTGTTGCGGTAACACATACATACATACATACATATGTATGTTTTGAGTGTGACAATTGACAAAGTTTGCGCATGCGCTACTGCAATTTATCATCGTATCTGATGGATATATAAGCAAAAACAACAATTGCTGAAGCATTCAATTGTTTGTTTATTTACGCTACATAATTGCTTTGACGCGTAGCCGTATTTTTTTATTTTCTATTTATTTAAAATATTTTTTTACTGTGGCCTACAACAATTGACCGCTTGGCCTTGTCCTAAGCGAGCCCACGGCCGCAAATGTTGAAAACTTATCGCGAATGGCGCTATCAGTAGACACACTTATACACACACACACTCACATATGACCAGCGGTATTCCCAGACTGCATTCGCTTATTTACTTACTGGGCGTGTTCTGTGCGGTTTTAGCCGTCCGTACCCAAAGCATAAGTCAGCGCCGCGCCGCGCCGCGTCTCGTCGCACTCGTGTGAATAGCCGTTAGGGCTGATAAGCGCTATCTCGCCGCAAATGTAGCCTATTATCGGCAGCCACAGCAGCAGCATATCAGCAATGCGAACCCACACACACACACACACACACAACATATAACATGCACATACAAGTACACACGACCCTCGTCCAATAATTTTGGTTTCTTTGTCTATCGCAGTCGACAGCCACATTGTCAAATTCTGTGCTATGCTCAACCACATACAACAATAGTGGCAATTTTTGGGCTTAGGGTCTAGGTTTACAAGCTATATAAAACTGGAGCAGCAAGTTTTCACTTTCACTAGCAACTTGATATGTGGGGTTGGATATTGTTGGACTTGAAGCTCAAATTGGATTTTGTGGGCAGCTTGTCAACAAAAGTTCCATAGTCCAAAATCTGAACAAAACAATTGGAATTAGGCCGCTGATAAGCCAAAACTAATCTAATATTTATATTTGGCAGCGTATAAATAGGCATAATCTACTATGACTATTTATTTAAAAGGATTATACATATTTTTAAGGCAAAGATAGCAGAGTAAAATGATAAAGTTTAGAGCTGGAAATTTCAAAATTTCTCTTTAAATTAACTTAACAAAAGTATCTTTTATTACGTGAGTATATGTGGTCATAATATTGAAAAGTCTAATTAATAAACGTAGTCTGATTGGCTCAAAAGTGGGCTCAACTTGAGCTAGATGATGAAAAACTAAGCAAGCGAAACATCGTTTGGTCTGCGATTCCATCAGCTGGCATTAAATGTGTCATAAACACTGCATAAATCGGTTGGCATTAAGACGTAAAGCTCTAAAAATCCCCTCGCTCAGTGTAAAAATCCCAGCATGAGCTCAGCTCAAAGGTGAGCCAACAAAAAAGAAAAAAAACAAAAACAATAAACTTTGAAATCATCGGATGGGACGGCGGCATTTGTTTCGTCATCAATGCTAGCCAAGCGTCAGCGTCCGCACTCGCATTCGCCTTTGCGTTGGCATGATTATCACCTTCATCATCATCATCACCATCGTCATCAACAAGAACATCGTCATTATCGTCAGCGGCCGGCGCGTCATAAACAAGAAAAATATTTCTCTTAAGTCAAAGCTAATTGCTCTTAAATCAAAGCGAACAACGCGATCGGCGAATGCTTCAACACGGTCTTTTGTACGTTCCGCGGCGAGCTGTGCTGCCTGGTCAGAGCCTGATTTGAGCCGGGCAAACAACAAAGGCACAGAACGAGCCGTTAAAGTCAGCCAACAGACAGACAACAGGTAAACATTATATAAAGTGAGCTGAATGCAGCTACCTGCGGGCGGTTGGTTACTCAGTGCAAGCAGATACAATATCTTTTTATTTTTCTATTTGTGCTTACGTAAAAAACTCGAGTGAGTTTTTTGTTTGCCAATTTGAGTTGCACTCGAAGAGAGCACGCGACGGCGCAGTGAGAGTGCGACTTGGTTGGCAACTGGGACAGGAACTGGCAGGCTGGCCGGAGTGAGAGTGCGAGTGCAATTGTTGCAGAGATACACAAATACATCTACAGATACAGATACACGAATACGCGCTCATTGTGGATACATAAACAAACGGCACAAGCGGCTGACTGTGGCGGCGGTGGCGGCAGCGGCGACAACGGCCAAAGCATGCGAAAAGGCAGCACAAAGCATAGAAACAAAAACAAACGTCACAAGTAGCTCACCCAACATGTATCTGTATCTGTATCTGTGAGTGCGACCGGAAAAAATTGCGAACGAAAGAGCGCAAACGTACCAAGAGAACCGCCGCCGAGTGCAAGCCGAACTCAACGAGCGCCGCCGAGCGTCGAGCGCCGAGCCGAAGCGGCCGCGGATCCGGCAGCGAACCCGGCAACGGCCAGCGAGCGCCGCACAGAATCATTCTTGAATGCGCGCGCGAACGTTTCGCACCAGCCCAAGAGCAGCAGACAACCAACAACAGCAAAAACCAACAAATATTAAAATATATTAAAAGAAAAAAAAAACAAGTAAAGCAAAGACAAAGTCAAGAGTCCGAAACTCCACAACAACAACATCTGAAGCCCAAGCCCAACAGCAGGCCAGCAAAATTTTCGAAAGCGTGTGAAACTTGAAGCCAACCGAATAAAAAGAAAAGTGCAAGTGAAGTTTTGTGTGTTTTGGCCAAGTTAAGTGAAAAAGCTAAAGCGCGCGAGCCTAAGAGAAAGAGTGGCAACAGAATACAAATATACAAAATTAAGAACGAGGCCTAGTAGCCCAAATTCAGCAGCAGCAGCAGGCGAGACATTGGCGTAAATAAAAAAATTATAAAAAGCAAAAAAAACAAAACCAACCAAATATTTAAATAATTAAAAATAAAACTCACGACGACGTCAACGAATTCTTGACTGCCGCCGCAGCGCGTGTGCGTGTATCTTCCTCGCCGAGTGCGTGTGTGTTAGTGTGTGTTAGTGTGTGTTTGCCTTGTATCTGTAAGATACGCGCCCCGCTGACGCATTTGCCCGGCTACCGCTGTTGACGTCGCCGGCCGGCGTTTTGTGCCCAATTAACACAAAAACAACAGCAGACAAAAAAAATAAAACCAGCCAAAAGCGTTCGCTCCAGTTTGGCATTAAAAAACTTGTTGCGGGCGTATTACAATTAATTAATGACAAATTAAATACACTTCAATATCTAATCTATCGGCTACATACACACTTGTATGTATATTTGTATCTGCTGCAATATTGCATATATCTAAATATCTCATATTTATAGGCCAGGCATTGGCCGTGCCGCTAGCGACTGCAATTGCAACAGCAACAGCAGCAGCCAAAGGCAAAAGTTTATAAATAAATAGCGAAAATTAAATTAAATAAAATACAAATACAAAATACTTGAAATAACTAAATACAGATGTTTGTCATAATCAATTGTTAGAAGTGCTTTCTGAAAAATAACCGCTGCCAGCCAAGAGAATTGTGTAAAAATTCACATTTCGAAGGCTGCCGCTGCAAATCAAAAAGGTGATTACATAAAGATACAAATACTACAGATGCACCCCATCCATGCAGCCGTGTGCGGAAGGTGTGTGTGTGTGTGTGTGCACGGCTTATAATAGATGTGAAAATGTGAAAGGCGACAGCAAAAAATAAAAAAGATAAATAAAAGAAAAGATATAATAATAAGTATATTATTTGCTCTATCGTAGAGCACGCGAATGTGCTTTTGGGGCGTGCCGCATAACCGACTGACCCCATTAGGCCCCACTCCCCGCCTCGCACCCATTGGCCAATTTTCAAGGGCGTTCTTTTACGCCAGCCTGGGAACGAGCCTACTATTTAAATGAATATCTATAGTATATGTATGTCCACCGCCAGATACTTTAGCCTCAGATACTTTTGCCTCAATACAATCAATTGGCAATTGGGAAATTAACTAGCTATTTGCTTGTTATTTTCCATGCTTATGTCTAGTTAAATTATTAGATTGATTAGCTGTACATGTGTTTTCTGCTTCTCGGAAAATTTGTGTAATATGATGACAATAAAAAACCTTTTGACAGTTACATTTTGTGTTTAGCTTTAGCGTGACTGAAGTTTTCTGGGAAAATGCCATCGATATTGCATTAAATGGACCCATAAAAAATTTGCTTTTTTTTTTGTATCGCATATATAATTTATGACAGCAAATAATTATAAACTAAAGGCAAAACAATTTAAATTGTACGATGCTCGCCAACGATTAAAAACAAATGATTCACAAATGCGGCTTCACTTTGTACCCAGTCGAGTATCTGTTGCGAGTCACAAAAAAAAAGAGGCAAAAAAAAACCCAGCAGCCGATGCGATAAAAAATTACTTAGAAGAGCGATATACAATTCTGATAGAATATTTGTACAATTAACTAGCACAATTAAAGCTATTTACTAACTGCACTTTCTTCCATTTACAATTACCATTTACCAGGAACCCATCGAGCTGAAGAAGCGTTTGGAGGAAGTGCGCCTGCTGGAGTCACGGCGCTCGGCTCGTCTGGCCGATCAGGATCGCGACACGGACTTTGCTCGCCTGGCCGACATGGGAGGCGACCGCCGCCGTACCACACACAGTATTGAGGTGCCATTGACGCCACTGACGCCGCCGAACAAGTGAGTAAACCAGATTAGATTTGAACGCCCGCTTATACATACCCTCGCACCAACAAAAACCCATAGATTTTCCTTATCAAATGAAAATGAGGCAGATAATATTAAATAAATGCATATATATAATAAACGCATTTTGACATAAATTAATTTGTTGTCAATTATAAAATAATTATGTATTTTACGTAGATCGGTTAGACAGTTTATAGGGTGTACTCTCGCCGAGCTGTTTATAATTCTCGTTTGTTTTGGTTTTTCGAATTGGCGATCGCGCACTTTGCATAAATATGCAACCGTGGAGTCGATGGAGTCTAGGCTATATCAATAATTCATAAGCGGCGACAAATTAGCGGAACAAGCCGCCAAGTCACGGACAGATACAGTCTGTTCTGTGATATTCCTGCTAATAATGTGTGTCGGCCCATAGTCGATTCGTTGGTTGTTTTGTGGGTCTTATCTAAGCACAACCGGCTAGACACCGCCCGGCTATTTAGCATAGACGCCGTCCGTGGCTGCAATTACACTTATATAAAGCGGCCATCGCCCAATTTTGTCCCCTCGCGCCAACGTTCGGTGACGAGACAGCGGCGGTGACTACGTCCATTTGCTTTGCGAAATGTTTCGCCGGGACAACGGCGGCAACTGATTGCAAAATAATTCAAATTTTCAATTACTGACCGCTCAGACGCGACGACGACGTCGACGGCAACGTCGAAGTCTAAGAGACGACAATAACATTTGATTACGACGTCAAATAGTCGCGCGATATCTGGACTGCTTTTGCGTGTTATAGTCACATTGTTTCGATTTGTTAGATACTCTTCAAAGTAATCCGCATAAACTTCTGTTTTTATAGGCATTATACAAATGTTTTACATTTTTATTTAAATTTAAAAAATTTAAAAATAAAAATAAAATAATTGTAATACGAAAATATAACCTTAAACCAGCCACGTTCTGCTTAAAAGCTTGGCTTCCTGTTTTAAAAAAATTTTCAACATATGTTCAGAAAATTTTCAAAATTATTTTTTTCCTTCCTGACGTAGGGCATGCAAATATCGTATTGAAATCAATAGCTGTCTGATTGTTGTGGCGTATTTCATTTCAATTTCAATTGATAAGCCTCGCGCGCCGCCGCACGGCAAACTATTAGTCAAGTGTGCAAAAACAACAAACGCGCAGCGACAAGTGTGCCGGGCGGCAAAAAATAAATAAAACAATAAATAAATAGCGAAAACAAAATAAGAAATAAAAAAAAAACAAAAAGGAAAACAAAATGCCGGCCACGTTCTCAATTGATAATAAAAGTAATAACAATAATAATCAAAATAAAAAGGCAAAAACGAACAAAAACAAAAAGCAAAGAGAATTCAGCACGTCATGCTCTCGGTAACTGGGCTGTGGCTTGAAACCTCGTGCAGGGAGGCCACTCAATTGCGTCGTAATCAAAAAACTAAAACTAAAACCAGCAACAAAAAACCGAACAACAACAACAGCAATAATAATATAAACTGCAATGCGCCAAGAGCAGTCGCAGCAGTCGCAGCAGCAGCCGACAATGTCTGTAATAAAATTCAAATAAAATTCAATTGAGTTCAGCGCGAGGCGCTGCGCCAGTTTAATTTAATTACTTACATACAATACGAGAGAGAGAGAGAGAGAGACTCGCAGCACCCACCCAATTCTCCGAAGGGGGATTGCTTGCTTGTTGTGTGAAGAGAGTGGTCCAGAGGGGGGCAGCGAGAGGCCCAGCGTTGACTTTTTGCCGGTCGCATTTATCTTACAGCTCTCGACGCACATGCCGTCCAGTTGATGTTGTTCCCGCTGCTGCTGCTGCTGCTGCTGCTGATGATGTTGTTATTGTTTCATTGAATTCGAACTCGAATGCGGAAGTGTTTATTTCGCGCACAGATAGGCAAATACAGCCGCACACATACACACACATACGCGCGCACACACGCTCTAGTTATGTATGGGTAATGGGTTCTATCTGTCGTCGCCATTTTGTCGTCGTCTTCATGCCATGCGGTGTTTTGATATGCGCAGCTCTCCTCCCATTCCCTGCCCTCTTCCTCTTCCCCTCCCTCTCTCACTCCCACTCTGCCGCCCTCTCTCACTCACTCTCATTATAATGTACTCGTGTAATGATAACAACACCTCCATATACATGGCAAAAAGAAACCCGCTCACCTTGCACACAACGCAGCACACACACACACACACACACACACACTAATCAAACGACTGCCACGCGTGTTCCAACACGTAATGCGACGTAATATTTTGCTACCCCGATCATCTGCCAGCACCCCTCTCCCTGAATGCTGCTAATCTGAAATGTGCTTTTCTGGCTTACGTACGCGTGTTTTTATTATTGTGAATGCTGTTTTTAAGTGTTTTTTTTTTTTTATTAATTTACATCGCCGAAGTTGCGTCTGCTCTGTTAGTTCAAGTAAACAGAATATGTTAACAAATTCGTTTAGCATTTTTCTTTTATTTTTCCCTCTACTGATAATTGGTATCGTAAACAAATCAGCTATTAATTAATATTTGCTTTCGATTCAGTCAAAGTTGTGGGGGGCTCAGCCACACGAGCGTGGGCCCAATCGTTGTAATTAACATCCAAACACACAAATATGTATGTGTGTGCGTGTGTGTGTGTGACGCACTTTGTTATGGCAGTTATAACAGTTATATTTGTTACCTACTTACCCACATTATAATCCGTCGATTAGCTTGTTTTTATTTTGTTTTCCGCTAACATTTTTCTTAAATTTTGGAATATATTTTAAGCTTAAATGCATCCATTGTTTAATCTGTGTTACTCCAATACGTATGATCTTCTCTCGGTTCTGGCCTTTTGGCCTTTCATTCCTTTAGATACACCCAGCAATTTGCTAATCGCACTTTAGTCAACGTACAAATGACGTCGTTACATTAAAAACATGTTTCGTATGGAGTCTATTGCTATCTGGGGCTTAATAGACTCCTCGACAAAGCTGACAGCTCTCTAGTTTCAAGGTTTCTAGCACCCCCCCTCCCCCCTCCCCCATACCCCCTACCCACACCAACCCTGTCCCCTTCCGGCAGCTATTACACAGAAAACAGCGCTGCAATTCAGCTGAATGACGTGCCCCAAGCACCAGACAAAGAACGCAGTGCACAAAAAAAAACTAAATAAAATAAAAAAAGTACAATAAAATAAAACGACAGGGAAAAAAACTAAATAAAATCAGACGGGAAAAAAAGAAAGAATTAAATGCGGAAAAAACTGGTAATAAATATAATAAGCGCGTAATTATCGCGTAAATGTCAATTTAAGAGGCGAACGCGTTGCGTCAGTGCTAATTTTCAACGCTTGACTGCATAGACCGGCCGGTCTCCAGATCCGAGACCCCGCAAACTCCACTCCAACCCCTACTGGCCGCCCACCCCCCGCCGCCGCTTAAGCAACGCAGCTGTTTCTGCAGCAGCTCGCAGGCTGTTGCTTAATGAAAGCGTGTAAGCGCCAATTGGCCAGGCATGTTGTTTGTTGCTGTAATTGCCATGATTAACAATAACAACAAAAACACCAGCATTAACAACAATAACAACAACAACGGCATCAGCTACCGTATGGCCAGGCGGCTGCCTTGCTTTTAACCCGTGTTGTTATTGTTGTTCTTTATTGCAAAAACAAACAATATGAGAAAATTGCAGCGCGCGAAGAAAAAAAATGTACAATAATAATTTACAAACGAGTTTACCGTTGCAACAATAACAACAACGACAACAACAACAATGACGCACCGAAACTTGCATGCACTTCGACTGTGACTTTTCAATAGCCTCTGGCCACAAGAACTTTGGAATTCGGCTCTTTGATCGAACTGAAAAATAAAAGGCGAACAACTTAAACTGGGCGCGCAGCCAAAAGGTTTATTGGTAATTATTTTAATAGAAATACTTGTATTTTTTTGTGCTGTTTAATGCACATTGAATATAACTTTTAGTTCTCTTAAGTGTGTTGAAATCATTTTAATGACTCGAAGAAGGGTGTTGAGAAATTGCGCTGCAATTGATTGCAATCATTAATGCACATAATATATTTAATTAAATATGTTTCTTTACAAATACAAGTTTATTAAATTAATAAAAGTTCTGCTTTGAATATTGCTGCAGGCTTTAAAGTGCGTTCCTTCATTTTGTCACGGTTGTTTTTTAATGGATTGTCATTCTTGCTTTCGATCCAATATTTACATGCCAGCTTTCAGCTAGTGTTGTTAGCATTTGAACAGGTTCGATTGATTCCACTTTACGTGTTGTCCACTGAGCCGTTGTAAAATTCATCACAGGCTTTAAGTACCCCACTCAAGGCATGTGAAAAGCGCTTGCGAAAAATGCATAAACAACAAGAACAACGCACAGTGACGTCAACACTGCAGCAACAACAGCAACAACAACAAAATGCACACGACTAAAATTACAAGCAACAACCACAGAAAATAAAAATAACTATAATAATAGTAATAAAATATATATACATACATATATATATATATATATATATGTGTGTGTTTTGCAACAACAAAAGCAAGTTCAGCCAACTGGCGACGCTGGCAGCGGCAATTAGCCAAGTCTTGAAAAATATTTGCCGCCAAGAATATGTACAAATATTATACGGAGCGAGTGTTTCTGTTGCCCTCAAAAAAAAAAAACGAAACGAAAAAAAAATATGTACAACAAAAATACTTAATTTCAGTACAATAAAAAGTCAAGTCGAGCGCAGAAGTGGGTCAAAATTATTATTGAAGCAGAACAAAAACAAAGCCAGCAACAACAACAACAGCGAGCAGACAACAAGATAATGGGAAATGCAATGCAAAAAACGAGGGGGAAAAATAAATTTATAATCATTTTCTAAGCATTGCTTCATAAGCGGCGGCGGCGGCGGCGGCCCCTCGACGGCAAATTATTGAAATGGATTCGCATTCGCAGCTAGCCGGAGATACTTTGGCTCTAGCTTGCAATGGAGGGGCTTCATATACATATATGTATATACCAGCACTTATACAGATGCATACATATACATTCATAAATGCGAGTGCTCAATGTTCCGTTCCCTTTACCGTTCCAATAAACGTAAACACAATTTTCCGATGTTCTGCACGAATAGTTTGTTTGATCGTAAAATTTTATTTTTGCATTCAAATCGCGGCGCAACAAATAAAAACTTGAAAACTTGCTATTGCAAGTTTATTTCGTTGCTCGATGTCTTCTGTGGGCATTGCTTTTTGGGAGTACTATCAGTTTTGTATACCTATTCTCTTTTATTTCCCTCAGTGTGAGCCCCGTCCACAAGGAGGCGGCTTGAATGAGTTTCGTGCCAGTTTCGAATCGATTCGGTTGGCAGGGTCACTTTTACATATGTGCCTGTGTTCTTTAATGCAGGCATTGGCAACAAGCAATGCAGTGCATTTTCATAGCACAAAGAGAAACAGTATCTGAAAATCATATCGACTTTCATAAACGAAGCTATTCCAATCAAAAATTAGGTTTTATTAAGCTTTAAATATCCCAAGTTTCGACACTTTTTAGTTTTTTATAGTTCGCAGTTATCAGCTAAATCAATCAAACTTTGAGTATATATGCCTCCCGCTCTGACCAACTGTATATTGTGTTCGTGTTTGCTGCTCTTAAATAAGCTGTTCTTGGCTGAATCAAATTTTGACACTATTTCCCTCTTCTTCTTTGCAATTTTCGGTTTTTAAGGCTTTTATGAATATCTAGATTAAATTGTTCTCAGCACTCATAGCTTTGCTGATCTTCTTGACTAAACTGTTCTCAACGGCAATCAATTAATCGTATATAAAGCTTAAAGCTGAATCAATTGAATCAATGAAATATTGATACTATTTACACCTCGCTCTAACCAATTGTATTCTGTGTTCCTCTTGATTAACCTGTTCTCAGCTTAATCAAATTTCGACACTATATTCCTCTTGTTCTTACCAATTTGGTTGTTTAAGACTTTTAGTGCCTTTCTTGATTAAACTGTTCTCAGCTGAAAGCAATCAATCGAAAATCTTTTTTAATCAATTTAATATTGATACTATATACATCTCGCTCTAACCAATTGTATTTTGTGTTTGGCTAAGCTGCGCTTGATAAAATTGTTCTCAGCTTAATCAAATTTCGAAAACATTTCCTTCCCTCTTGTTCTTACCAATTTTCGGTTGTTTAAGGCTTTCATGGCACTCTTCTTGATAAAAACTGTTCTCAGCTCCTGTAGCCGTGCTTCTCTTGATTATTCTGTTCTCAGCGCCTGTAGCTATTCTACTTTTCTTGATTAATCTGTTCTCACATTCTTTTATTAAAAGTTTAAAGCACATTTTGAACTGCAATTGGTTTTAGCTGAACATTTCTATTACAACAGCCCGATGGGCACTGGCAAAGCAGCAGCTTGATTCCACTTTTATTGGCATCGGTGTGGGGCAGCTAGCTGCTTAACACGTTCTCACTAGCCACGCACGGCCAATGGGCCAGTGGCTATATTTAAAAGTGCATTTGGGCCCACTAACCCAGGCTGCGGATAAGGGGGCGGGCGTGGCGGAAACTGGCAACAGACACTGCTAACGTCTTGCATTATTTATGCACGAATACATTAATAAGCCCGCGGCAGAGATGTCGAAATATATACGAGTGCGATACACGTATATATATATATATATTGTGTATATATAGATAGATGTACATACATCCATATGCATATGAGTATGAGAAAAACTAAAACGTGTGTGTTGACGACAACGACGACGAGATGCGGCCGAAACAAGCTGTTGAGCAACACGTCAGGAAAAGCGAAATGAAAATGAACCATTTTCTGACAGCTAGTAAATTTTTAGTGTACGCTGTTGTTGCCTGCCAGGGATATGCACACTTAGATGCAGCACGAGCAGCAGGAACAACAACAACAACAGCATCAACCACAGCAGCAACAATCTTTAGGCGGCAACAATTGTTCACAAAATGAAGTTGAGTTTTCCATTTTTTGCCTTGTTTTGATTTCTTTTTTATTTTTTTTGCTGTGTGCCGATTTCGATCGTCCGCAATAAAACTTAATGTGCACACTTATGAGCAGTGCCTGGGGCAGTGATCGGTGGGCGTGGCCAATGCATGCAACACACGCAACATTTGCAGTCGGGATTTGCAGCCGAAACGCAAATTCTAAGAACGGAAAATGCGCAAAAATTAGATTGAATTGTTTGTACTGCAATTGTCAGTGTGGTCGAGAGCGTGGGGAGGGTGGGGGGGTCGGTCAGTTGGTTTGCTCGGACGCATAATTGCAGTTGCAAGCAGCGACTCGGACTGGGTCTTGTCTGGACTGGATCTGGACTGGCCCAGCCTGGCCGGGACTGGCAATTTGATTGAGTCGTTTCCAATTGTAATGGCAAACGCTGCGGGTGTTGGCACTGACGAGCCTCGACTGACGACTGGCTGGCTGACTGACTGACTGACTGTCTGACTGACTGTGCGTCTGTCCGAGCGTCTGGCAAGAAAAGTCATTTGGCAAAGTCAAAAACGCTAAAAGAAAACCGCACACTATAATTTTCCAGCGTTGTACGAAGTTACAGTTACACATTTCTAGCCTTTGGTGCCAGCAGCAGGCAACAACAAGCCAAACAACAGACAACAGGCAACAGCCAGCGGCCCAAAGATACAAACAACAAGCAACACACAACAACAAAATAGCAAAACTCTCAAACTGATTTGGCTTATTTTTGCGACTATTGCGGTCACTGGAAATTGCATTAGATTTTTGTTGTTGCTGTTGCTGTTGTTAGCTTGGTTGCTGTCGGTTG